AGGGGGTCGGTGTAGAAGGAAAAAATGTCAGGGATTTGGTAATTACAGATAGGTTGGGGTGTTTTTCGTAATTCAATCTAAGTCCAGGGGTATTTTCGTAATCTACCCTAAATTATGATAATTAAATAAATAAAAGAAAAAACCCTAGTGTTAAAAATGGAGTCTTGAAATTATTAATTATTTTGTTGATGCAGATACAGAGCACAAGGGAGAAGTATGATAGAAGAAGGGATTGAGTGGGATAGGATTAGGGCACCAAGTGTGAACACACCTCCAAATTCTCTTCACATTTCTGATTGTTTGGATCAAATTAAACCTGGTGATCATATTGAAATTCAGTGGAGAAAGAACAAAGAATTCCCTTTTGGTAATTTTATTTTTTATTTTTATAAATTTATTTTCTTGATTTTTCAACCACTAATTTTGTGTGTGTGACAGAGAGAGTGAGGAAAAAGCAATAAATTTTGGCAAAAAAAAAGACCAAAGAAAAGCAGATGATTTCATTTAAGGATCTGAAAATGTTAGATATATCCCAACTGTAATAATTGAATGTAGCAATTAAATATTGAATTTATTTATTTGTGAAAACAATTACAGGTTGGTGGTATGGGGTTGTTGAACATCTGGAATCCTGCAATGGAAATGAATTCAATTGCCAATGTCACATCACTGGTAGGAATTGAACTATATATTTATGAACAATTTACCAATTTCGTAAAAGGCAAAAACATGTTTAAATAGTAAATTTTCAAATATTTTTGTTGCTTCCATAATTATTTTCATAATTTAATGATTTATATAGCCCTATACTTTTAACATTTACACATTTCACTATCGTTGGTTCTGTGTTCGTGCTGCATAAACTTATATACTGTTTGTAAAACAGATGCAGTGTCACTGGAGTTCAAGCAATATTCCCGTGCATCGCGGTGGAGGAGAACAGTGATCAGTAGAAAAGATCATACGGTGATTGGAAATGAGATAGATGGATTCTACGGTGGGATTAGAAAACTTTGTAATAAACAAGAAATTGCTAAATGGAAACAATTATGGCCAAATTGTACATTGGAATAATTAGTTCAAATGACAAAGATTGACCTTCATTATTTATTGAGAATTGTACATGAGTTTTTTTTTTCTTTTTAGGGGCTATTTGACAAACCCCAAATGAAGGTCCCTTTCGTAACAAGTCCGATCTTTTATTCGATATTCGATATTCGACGTAACCTCATTGGAAACAAATTAACTAAAATGTTCAATTTACTATCACAGAATAATAAAAAAAAAAAAAACGAGTGTTCACAGGCCCGTTCCTGAGAATTCGGGGGTCCTAGGCGAGGTTTAAACAACAAATGAAAATATGGGCCCCTATCTAATAAACCATTTTTTTATTAATGGGTGTTCGAAATTGAATGTATTAAAAATATATAAATAATATTTTCTAAAAATGATGAAATAAAAGATTATGGGGATTCGGGATCAAAATTAACAATATTAAATGCTGGTTCACTTCCTCCCGTGACGTATAATCTTTATAGCAAATAGACTTCATAAATATTTATAAACTTGAATACACTAATGAATATTGATTCATATTTAAGAATAAAAATAAGTAATTAAGACATTATAAATTTAATATTTAGGGGTCCCAAAGTTAAGAAAATTGTAAAAATATGTATTGATCATTTAGCTTAAATTTATTTTAGAACCGATGTTCCAAAATATTATATATAATAAATTTTTAAAAATAAGTACTAATATAGAAAGTGTAAATAAAATAATTTGGGGGCCCCAAATTTTCGTAAAATTCGGGGGCCCTAGGCGACCGCCTAATTCGCCTCCCCTCAGAACCGGGCCTGAGTGTGCAGTCTGTCCTATTGAAATGTTAGTGTAATCTCTTCAATAATTAACGTCCAGTTACATCTCGTTAAAACACTACACTCGGAATCACTTCATTTTTAACACCGAGAACCCCCCTCACAATAGCGACCGCAATTTTCTAGAAAAAAATTGCTACTAAATTCCACTTTCGTAATAATAGATTTAGTAAATGGAGGGCAAAATTCACTCTACGCAATAATGAATTTAATAAATAGAAAGAGCAAAATCTACTTTGTGCAGTAGTAAATCTAATAAAACGAAAATGGCAAAATTCATGTTGCGCAATAGTGCATTTATGATTTCTTCATCAGCAACAACTCCGATATGGGCGAAAATTAGGGTATTAACTAATAAACTATGAATACGAAGAGTTTTGAAGTCAACATCAGCCACAAAACAGAGGCTCCGACGGTCAGGCGATCCAAATCTTTTACTATCAAGAGGATGGGGCATATGTGAATAAGAGTGAGACATCAGAACTTCAAAATTCCTGACTAAAATCGTTTGTAATGTGAGAACTAGGGGTGGTAAACGAGCCAAGCCGACTCGTGAGCTCGAAGAGCCGGCTCGTAAAAAGCTCGAACTCGTACTCGAGGTTTTCGAGCTCGAGCTTGAGCTTTTTGACGAGCCGAGCTCGAGCCGGATTTTAGTTGTTCATCTGCTCGCGAGCCGGATTTATATTATTTTTTTGTTTTTTTATTTTTTATATGTTATTTTTATTTAAATAATGTATAATAATATAAAATATTATAGAAATAAATACAAATATTAAAAAATATATAATCACAATTTAGTTTCTATTTTGTATTTTTTTAAAATAATTTTTAATAATAAAATAATAATTAAAAAATATTAAAAAAAAAAAAGATTGGGCTCGAGCTCGGCAAAATTAACACGAGCTCGAGCTAAAAAAAGAAGAACTCGACGAGCTCGAGCTCGAGCCAGCCAAAAGAGGCGAGCTCGGCTCGAGCTCGACTCGTTCATACCCCTAGTGAGAACGTTGCATTTAATTATGGAAAATACATTATGCAAATACTAATGTATGTAGTTTCCAACCTTAAGATATGTTAGATTGATATAAGGGTATAATAGTGAAATCTAATTAATTTTCATTAATTAAAGACGTTTTGGATTTATACACGTGTGTGACTTTTTTTTTTCTCAATTTAAAATTTAATAACTATTTGGTATATTTTTATATACTAATGAAATTGGGTGGGCTTCAGAAACCCAATAGTACAACTGGATCAGCTATACCGGGCTAAAAATATAATTGTAAATATTACAGAAAGGCCCTCTAAACTTTTATTGACTATTAATAAATTATATTTTATTAATATATTTTTTAATTCACAATATTTAAATGATCGAAAAACGGGTAGCGGGTCAGCCCGAACCCGTTTTACCAAGCGCGTAGGTAGATAGACCATTAGAGACGACGACGATTCCGAACTGTAGAAATTAGAAACGATCTAGAGAGAGAAAGAGAGGAGAGAGAGAGAGAGAGAGAGAGAGAGAATTTCAGAGAGACAAAATTAAACAAAAATATATCTAGGGATAGAAGATCGAAGAAAGGTGTGTATATATACACACTTTTTTATATATATATTATATTATACAGATAGATATATACAACCCTCACATAAATATCAGTACCCAGTGATTTTGGAGAGGTGGTTGGTTCGCCTGGAAGATGAACGGCGGCCCATCTGGTTTCAGTACGTTTGATTCTCTCGATTCTGTTGCTTTTCTAGGTTTAAAATTATTGAATTGATTGGGGGTTTTTTTCTGAACTGAAATTGTTGTAAATTGACAGATAATGCGCCGGTAACAAGGATTATAGTAATTGCGAGTGCTCTGTTTACAGTCGTATTTGGGATCCAAGGTCGCTCCAGAAACCTCCCATGGTCTTATCAGGTATTTTTAAGAACGATTTGTTCTTCATTTCCATTTTTTTAATTAATAATGATTGGACTATTGAAATGCTGTTTGTGCCCTTGATTTTTTATTTATTTTTTATATTAAATTTGTTGCGGGTGGTTCTTATTTTATACTGGTGTTGTTTTAGCTGCATATTTTGTTGAATTCACCCAACCTAATGTGTTTGATTGGATGGAGTAGGAAACAATAACACATGCATTGATTTTTGTTTTCGTGATTAGAAAGTGGTTTCGTTTTGGTTGATTTTGTTCAAATATTTGACTTCTTTTTCCTTAATTTTGATTATGCTGGCTGAGAAGGAAATAGTTATGTTTGATTATCGTTTTGCTATATTTATCTTTTACCATTAAGGAGTGAGAGATCGTCACACGAGCTCATTTGTTTACACATGTTACTGAAAATGTCATTGAGCTCTAGATTCCATCCTTTGATTCCTCGTCTGGCCACGTTTAAAGTGGAATCATCCAAGTATCAGTTTTATTTAGAGATTATTTGAATTCATGTGGTTTTTCTGGCACGTAGATAAGGAACTTGCTTTTTTGGCTTCATGGTTTTTTTACCGTTACATAATACATAGATTGTGTTGACTGCAAATGTTCGCTAGATGCTGTTGCCGACTTAATAAGCATAAAAAAATATGGCAATGTAATTAGTTTTGATGCAAATATGCCATGTTGAGAGCTAGCCTGAAGCTTCAGCTGTATATTCATAGGATCTTTGTAGGTTACCTTAATTTATATATACGGTTCTCTTTCTATATAAAATGCTTCCATATTCTCCTTTCAAGCCTTCACTAGATGATGAGTTCTTATCTACTATCTGATTTACTGGCTGATTGTGAATGTCCTATTTTTCTTCTTCTTTTTTTCCAAAAATATTATGAATACTCTGATCTTGTATGCATGTGTTAATAGAGGAGAAGAACAGTCCCCGTTATGGCCTTGCTATTTATGATCGTTTATTGAAAGATATTTATGTTTTCCACTAACTTGGTTTTTGCTCTTGACAGGATATATTTAAGAAACTTCAAATATGGAAGCTCATAGTTACAGTTTTTGGGTTTTCGTCTACACCAGAGCTAGTCTTTGGAATATATCTGCTGTACTACTTCCGCGTGTTTGAGAGGCAAATTGGTTCTAATAAATACACAGTAAGTTCTTGTTCAAGCTCAATTTCTTGCTTGTGTATCTTTTAAGAAGCTGATATTGCAAAATTATAGTTGTAACAATTGGAGAAAGTAATATAAAATCATTGATCTTTCTGCCGACTCGTTTCCTTATATTGGATTTGGCGATGCAGGGAGGGAAGGAAATATAAATATTCAAAATATTTTACTTGGTTAAAATTTTGCTATTAGTTTATTTATGCCATGTCAGATTATACATGGCAAATGAAACATATTCATTAAGCTCACAAAATGGAAATGTAACATAATCTCCTTTTTTAAGAAATCTCCTACAATGTCAGTCTCTTCGGGAAGCTTTACTTGTATGGATTCTTTTGAGCAAGTGGGTGGTTTAAAATTGATTGATTGATAACTATTTATGACAAAATAATGGTATCCTAGGCATCCTATTCTGGTTACTAAGTTCAATTCATAGGGCATTCTTATTTGATTGATTATATTCTTATTTGATGAGTTTTAATTGCTCAGATTGAAGTATTTGCCATTGATCTGAGTATAAGGTCACCTCTAAGATTCTAAGGGTCCGTTTGGATGGAATGATTTGATTTGGGGAAGGGATTTGAAATGACTCCAATTTGGTGTCATTTGAAATCCACCACAATTGCTCCAAAAACAACTAAAAAGGAAGGGTGTGGATTTGAAATTCCTTGGCAAATCCCTCAATCCAAACAAGTCCAAGGGATGTGTTATTATGGATTTGAACCCCCCCCCCCCCCCCCCCCCCCAAACAAATCCTTCCATCCAAATGGATTCTAAGATTTATGCAATTAAGAAAAGTGATGAACCTCTAAACACACTACTGCATTATTAGTGTCAGAAAGGTTTAAATTCCCCTGCTTCAAATTTAAGACGAAGAGAAATCTATTATGCAGTATGCTTGAAAAATATAGCCTCGTACCTTATTCTTTTCCCAGCACTTCACCAATATTTTTTCTAAATTTATTTTCATGGTTTTCGTCATTATAAAATAATATTTTACATGTTAAATCAGTTAAATGAACAACTGATTGAAAACTAACTACCCTTTCTTTATCCTTTCGTGCAGGTATTTATCCTATTTTCTGTCATCACGTCTTTACTGCTTGAAGTCCTTGCGCAGTGGCTACTTAAAGGTGTGATCATTTTATTTGTTTAGGTATCATGTGGAACCACTTTGAAAACTGTCTGGATTTTGAACTTTTTGTGCGTATGAATTTTCTGTTCGAAAGTATATAATTCTTGAATGAGCACATCTTAACGAGGACAGTACGAACCAATCTTAAAGAACTCATACGTTGTACTCTACTGCACCCTGACCATATGACGAAACCCTTTTCCACTTGAGTTTTGCTCTCGTTTTCTTTTCGTACTCTATATTTCTTGGATGAGCAGGAGGGGACTATAGAGAAATTTTGTTTGCCGCTTATTCTTGAGTTACTATTATGGGCCTCTTTGCTTAAGGTTAAGTGGTACTTATACTCATATGAGTTATCATAGGAAGTAGAATCTTGTCTGCAGGTAGCATGACTCGCTTATAGTTGTCAACTTTAGTGGATTATTCGGTTATATGCTATATGATGATTGTATGCTATATTAGTGGCAGTTCTGTGGTAAATTTGTGATCCTTACAGTGTCTTCTAATATGAATCTGAATTTTTAATAATTCCTTCACTCCTGTTTTTTTGGTTCTTAATTATTTTTTCCTTTGTCTATTTAAATTGCTTGCTCATAGAATTCTGTGCTTACGGTATGGAACTTAAGTATCTATTTGAAGTGTATTATGCATTGTTGTTTTCACAAGCCCATGCAGTGACAGTCTTTTTTTTCCTGACAGATCCCTCCTTGAATATACTCACATCTGGACCCTATGGCCTTATATTTGCTTCATTTGTACCCTTCTTTTTCGACATTCCTGTTTCAACAAGGTTCCGTGTGTTTAGGTTCAACTTTTCCGACAAGACCTTTATCTATTTAGCCGGTCTTCAGGTAATTTATGTGTACTGTGGTTATCCCCTTACCCTATATGTATTGCTTTTCATGCTTTTTGACACAGGCATGTAACACTTTGCATTTTTTTTCTGCTTTCTTTTCTTAATGCTTGTTTAGTTTTATGCTCACTATCTGTTTCTTGCAGCTATTCTTGTCATCATGGAGAAGATCCATGCTACCGGGGATTTGTGGTATTCTAGCAGGTTCCTTATATCGCTTGAATGTTTTCCGTGTGCGCAGGGTTAAGGTTAGTTATTTGGTTGTCTTTTATTTTTACATTTACATCGACAAAGCATCACATGTCATCCGTAAAATTCTCTTTCGAAGTTTCTTCGGTAAACAGTTTATTTCGGTAATGTCAATGAAACGGTGACATTTCCTTCATTTACCCGTTCAACTTTTGTGAAATAAATCTGTTTTTTCACATCATTAGATATTGATATCATGATTGTCGAGCCAACTTATACCCCATCCTGAAGCATGCAAAAGTATATGATGTGGGTTTTCTTTGTAGTTAATGTTTCGTCGAGTGTAAGAAGGGAAGCTTTGACCTTAAAACTGATTTACATATATTTCTATTTTCTGTTGCTTTGATAGATACTTTTAGCCTATTATCACCTCGGAAATCCTATATCACGAGCTATTTTGATTGGCCATTCTGGACTTGGAAAGATACATGACAGTTATTCAAGAATTGCTGTTTGGAATTGAAACTCTAATGTTTTTCTCTTACCTATTACCTGGCTGTGATAACTATCATACTGGCTAATTAGGTAGTACTTGTCTATTTCAGTTTCCTGAAGTTATAGCCTCGTTCTTCTCAAGACTGTCTTGGCCATCTACCGGGACCACATCTCCCACCAGATCATCTAGGAATGTTCTAGGAAGCGCACCGACCTATGCCAGTCGAAGAGCGGAGGTATGTTCTTTCTATCGACTATGAATGTGAACAAAATTACCATTTTGCCCAGTAATCAACACTTTCTGCTTTGCTTTTGGTTAATATTGATTGAAGAAGTTGATCGACTAACAGCTATAATTTTTTTCAAGAAAATTTCTTCACCCGTACCCCCTCTCTCTCTCACTCTCTCTCACTTTCTCTTCCTCCTTATTCCGCACAGGCAAATGCTCCAGCTCTATTATCAACCTTGCTAGAACCACCAGAGGAGTCCATTGGCACACTGGTTTCGATGGGGTTTGATAGGAATTCAGCGAGACAAGCACTCATACATGCCAGGAACGACATTAATGCTGCCACCAATATCCTTCTCGAGTCACAGGGACATTGACCGAGCTCTATCTAGTTATGGTGTCGGAAAATATTACGTGCAAATTAAACCGAAGATGCAACTCCATCCAAGTGAACGATGAATTCATGGTTCATTCTAAATCTAATAGTGAGAAGCTTACTCTTGAGAAAATCTTTACCTCGCCCCAAGTTTTATCATTGATATTATTATGTCCTCCTTTCTTTTTCTTTTTTTCTATGTTCACTTCGGCTTTTACTCCTTTTTTTTTTTTTTTTTATCGCAGCTAACTTTCAATGGACTATGAATGAATATGAATAGCTGTAAAAATTTGTATAGTTGCTTATCAAGCGCGTAGGGTTATTGACTGTTGAACTCTTAACTTCATTCTCGATCTTGTTCGGGCGACTATGTTTCCAGTTGCAAGTTTCTGCTGCATCTTATATGTATTCAATATGGTATATGGCCAAAGTCTACGACTAGTTTTAAGATGAGAAAAATAGAGGGGAAAAAAAAAGAAAAAACATTCAACCAAGAACAAATGCCACTTTATATTCCAACAAAGAGCACAAAATGGAGTTCTTTTTTTGTTTTACCAATAGTCAGTGAAGTTGCACAAAATAGCTGAAAAAGTTTTAATTTAAACATCCCCAAAAAAACCCTTGTTGTAACAATTGAATACCCTCAAGAAAAAGTGGTCTCAGTATGTTGGATTGTAGTTTGAGAATTATGAAAAAAAAAGCCATAAAAGTGTTTAAATAGTAGAGATGTCGACTCGGCTTTTATGAAGCTGGAAAGCCGGAGTAATCCAACTCCCACAACTGCATTGAATGCCGGACCAGTTGAAGTAACCTAAACGAGCTTCACAGTGTGCACATATCAGCTTACCCTCCAGAGCACCTTCCTCGACTGTAATAAATGTAAACAACAATCAGAAAAACCGGCCTTTTGATACATTATGGTAAACTACACCTACATTGGTGAAATTACAACTAGACCCCCTCGGATTTGGATAGTTGCACGGACTGAGAAACGGTCAAAGTGTTTAGTACCAGACCGAGAAACTCGAATAAAGCCGAGTTGTTTAATTTCGTATAGGCCCCACAAAATAGGTTTTTAGATATGTTTTCGCTCAATTAGCAAAAAATGATATTCCTAATTGGACTGAATCTAATTATTAGCTAAGCACACTGGACATATACTGTACCTTCTTTCATCCAACGAAGAGGCTCGATAAAGATAGACGAACACTCGTTGTCATCAGATTTACCAAAAGGATTTCCACTCCTCCTTTTACGCCACTCGAAGCAAGTCTCTCCTTCTCCTGGAACATGATCCAAAACATTATCCTGCAACGCAACGAGTCTACGGCATTTCTTGCATCTGTATGCACTAGTTTTCGAAGATGCTTCTTTATCAGGTAATGATGATGAAGCTATTTCAGCTGGCAAGCCTGGATCGGGGCCGAATTTAGAACCGTCTATTTTCTCCCCACGATTATAGGAATCACCTGTTATTGCACGTAATACAATGAAAAGCGTAGCATAAAAAAATGAACACGTGGAAAAAAACAACCACAAACACTGCATATACGATGATCTTAAAAAAATAATGATAAAGCGATACTATAAGTTGTTCAGGGAAAATATGGACCTAATACTTTTAATCGGAAGCGTTTGTATATAGGGCTTGCACGGTCAACTTTAAAACCCATTAGCTCGAACATTTTCAACTGCAAAGATGGAAACGGGGCATCAATTACCTAAAAGGAAAACAACCCAAAATAAATAATACAGATAAGCTTGCATTTATGTCACCTGCTCCAAGAAACCATCATTTGGGCACACAGATTCACAGCTCTGTCTCAAAGATTCAATAGCATCTAGTTATCACACAGAAAAACGGGAAAAAATGTTAGAAATAGAAAATAATAAAACGAAAAACAATAGTAATAGAACAAAGAAAGCTCATTAAACATATAATATATATATATATATATATATATATATATATATATATATATATATATATATATATATATATATATTAACTGCAATTGCAAGTGTAGTGAATCGATTTGAAAATAAAACAAACGTGACAACTCTACACCTTCTTGTGATAGTCGTTCACTTTTCATCAGGTATGCTGAAATAATTGCCGCACTGCAACGAACACAGGCAAAGAAGGGTGTAAACCCTTAGGGCTTGACAAATCAGAGAACAATATCAATTACAACGTATGGCTCGTCTAAATAAAATTCCGATGGTAATTATTAGCAGACAAACGAAGATTTTGCAATCATGTACTATACAGCTGACAGTTAAATCTTCGTTACGAGAGAAGTATGAAATTCAAGCATGAAGTTGCACGACCAACATGGAAATCGCTGTAAGCCTTACATTTATGGATGCCTTCACCAAATAAAATCAACATTAATAATACCGATATCAAAAGGTACAGACAGGACGAGATACACCGACGAATTAAGTAGGCAATACTATTAAAGTCATGTAATCGAGCCCATTTATCTCAATCTTTTAGAAATATCGGCCGCAAAATTGAAATCCAACAATCATATCTTAAATAATCCAAACAAGCATTTGAATCTTTTACGTAAAATAAAAAATCCAACACTTTAGACATGCATAAACATTTGCCTATTACGAGCACCGTCGCTATAAAGGATGTCAACCAAAAAATTCCAAAATTTCTGCAAATCGAAGATTGAACAAACAAAGTAGATATATTACAAGCAGAGATTTCGAAAGAATCAAAATATAATATGTACCTCCTCGATACACCGGCAAAGCAGTGAACCAAAACAGACCCCTCTTTCCTACTATCCTCGATAAAATCCAAACACGCATCCAAATAGTCGAGCAAATTTTCACTCTCCATATCTCGCAAAGGCACAGCCATCCTCACAAACTTCAAATCCTTACCTGCATTTTCCAGTGAGTATAAGAGCTTATCTGGTGACAGTGAACTCTTCGACCCGTTTTCCGAACCATCCTCCGATCCTGAGCCACCTACGTAGACCTTCCGGATTTCTTTGGTTGGAATAGTGAGTCCACTACGCCACTCCGAGAAGAAGGAAATGGATGCTGAACTGAGAACTGATAGTATATGAGTGATTTCACTGCTTCCGTTTTGAAGAATCTCCGCAGCATCTCCGATGTTGCCGATGAATAGATTCTCCCGTACCAGGTACGGCATTTCAACACGATTCAATCTAGCACCTATTCAAGTCCAATGAAATTAGTGGACTAAAGATTTGAAATTTATAGTGAAACTGGAATAGAAAATACATCGTCACGATTCGATTTCTACTTTTAAGAAAATGCAACAAGAAACGAAATTAATTCCCTTCCCCGCAGAATTTCTCATTTTTAACAATTGAACACACACACACACACACACACACACACACACACACCTATTTTCACGACGGAGTCCAAAATACTACATGGCGAAACAGAATGAATAGCTGAAACGCATATCCTATCATTCAATAAATAAATTCGAGATTGAAATTGAAATTGAAAAAAAATTAAAATTGAATGAGGAATCCCCACTCATACAAAATCTCCAGAACTGGAAAGGTTTTAGACTAAATCAACTCGTATTTTCCAATAAAAAAAAAATCGAATTCATTCCAATAAAAAAAATGAAGAATCCTTCGCCGTACCTCTCGTCGGAGTATCAGCCGGAGAGTGATGGCAAGAGGAAAACAGCTCCTTTATTTTTTTAATTTTTTCGACTGGTTTTATTCCCCTCTCTCATATATTACGCGAGGTTTATTCGAATTTTTATAAGACATTCGCACGTGTGATGGAATCTTATAAAATACGTGGCACGTGCTAGTTCGTTTTAAAGGAGAAACGTATCTTTCCACCTGTCATTTGTCAAGGCGGAGGGCTATTGATTTCTTTCTTCCACTAATTTAGTGTTTCGCCCCTCTACTTTTGTTGAGTTCTATTTTACCCCCGATGTTCTCAAATTATATCATTTCATTTCTTTATGTTTATACATACAACAAACAAATCCAATTATTATCCCTACATATTATTTATAATAAAATCATCTTAACATATTCCTAAATCCCAGTCATGTTAATATTTTTTACTTAGACGAATTAATAACTTATATAAATTCATTTGAAATTTTGTTGTGCTTCAATTTAGTGACTATTGTTTTATAAACTATTAATTTTAAGCTAATAATTTATTTATTTTGTGTAACTTTAAACAAAAATCTAGTATAAATAAAAAATAAAAATAAAAACTAATAAAATTCAAAATGGAATCAAAAGTTTCATAGAACTCAATATCAAATATTAGTCAATTAAATTTAAAAAAAATATTAAAACACACACAAAACATAAGTCTAATATTTTAGAATATGGTACATTAATTTCACCATAAATACAGTATAACCTCAACAAATTAATAACCTCGTTTAAATAATTTTTTTTTTTTCGATCACATGCTAAAACAATATTTTCATAAATTAATATTTCGCTAAATTAATAGAATTTAACTAGTCATAACTGAATTAATTTATAAATGTTTATATGTAATAGACAAATGCAATCTAGTTATTGGTTAGGAGTTCAGGAGATAAATTAAGTTTAAATAACATGAATGGACGACGATAATACTGCCTTATACTAGCTCGGTCACTGATTTTCATTAACATCGATCGAAAAAGTTACCAAAATAAAAAATAAAAAAATAAAGCAGAGGAACCATTTCAGTTTTCAGTTTTAAATACAAATTACATACATATTGTCAGTTCATACTCTCTCTCCAAGTCTAACACCACTCTAAACCAGTTGACTTTCCTTTCACTCACAGGCGCCTCATCTTTCATGTAATTAAGATGTAGTCCCCCCTAATAGTGTGTGTGACAGAAAACTCTTACTCTGCCAAGAGTTTGATTCACAGAGAAAAAGTTTCATCTATAGCATAAATAAAATAAAATATAAAATAAAAAAAATCAGCATTCATCAGTTCCATCCTTAGTTAAAACAGGTATTTGCCACATCTTAGTGTTCTTCTTAGGATCGTCGGTAAGGCTAAGGTCCGTTTCGTCTTCTTTAAACGTTCTAATAAACGTTTTTGCTCCCATCATAATAAGCCTCTCCACCATAAATAATTGATAATTATTCTCGACCAATTGATCCAATAGACTACTGTAATTCGACGAATACGCCAACTTATACCTGCAAAAATAAGAAACATTTTACAAACAAATGCAATAAGGAAACACACTTCTCGTCCAGTAACGATATTTAATTTTCACGATTATAGTACCTTACACCCAAAGGCGAAAAGAAGCCGGGAGATCTTTCGTTCGATGCAATGAAAAGGGTTCGGCCAGGTGGGACCCACTTCGAGATTCTACAGAGCATAAACTCGGCGCGGGTGTCTCTATCAAGATGGGGATGTAAGCTTCGTTCAGTACCGTATCTATCTTTTCTGGTTTTGATCTTATCACCTCGCCGAACATGTATAGCATCGTAATCTCCCAGTTGTGCCTTAATCTATACTCAACATGCATACAATAAAAGTAAAAAATCGAACTTAAAAACTAAAATCAAATCGAACATAGCAAAATAAAAAGTAGCAAAAGAAGCTGAGCTACTAAAAAATTGCGAGTATCTATTTATTTTCCATATTTGTGCCTTCATAATTAATTCGTTATATTTGTTAATTCCATTGTCAAGCAAATCACGGGCCTTTGCTATACTACCAAAGATCTTAATTAGTAATATCAAACGAGGCCTAAGAATAAAGATCCCGTTTATCCGATACATGCTAGTAAACAAACGAAACAAATTTTACCTTTTCTGCAGCATCTCTTAGCTTTTTTCCAGCCATTGAAGGAAGGAATGAATATGGCAACATAATCGAACTGCGGTTATTCCGATCCTTGCACTCCATGAACCTGAATGACTACCATGATTAATACCTACACAAAAGCTATCAAGTTTCAAAAACTAATTTAAATACGCAATTCACTACGGACTAAACTTCTTAATCTAAAAGAACACAATTTTGAAAGATAAAGAAACAAATCCAGTATCAATGGAAGCAAGAGCTGAGATTGAAATATTAATTATGCATTTCGTCATCAACTTCACTGCCGAAAGGCGAGATATTACATATAAGGCTAAAGAAATATACTATATAGACATAGACCAAGTGTCGCACAGCACTATTTAATAACAGAAATCTGAAATACGAGGACTAGAAGTTGTAACTCACCACGAAAGAGGGCTCGCAGTTCGATTTATGAGTAAAAGATTTGAATACATATTTTTTTCTTTAAGATCGGCTCGACTAACACCTTGCACATGTGCTATCCCTCTGGACCCCAATTTCATGCTTGTTGTAAGGACATGATGCCAGGTTTTCGAATTATCCAAAATAACAGGTACTGTGTTCGATATGAGATCCAAATCGTACAAAGAATCCATACCACACGAGCTACCTGCCCACCTAGAAATAATATAATCAAATCGAGACATTTAAAAAAAATTAAGAACGACTTTTTAACAATATTTTAATGCCAAGAGCTAAAAGCAAAATAATGTGTTAGATCCTAAGAAAATCGCATTTTTAATCTGAATCTTCTTGCAACACGGGAATAAACATTAAAGACCGAGATCGTGAAGTTCTAGATTAAGTACATTCTGCAATATACAGTTAGCTATTTTTGTTTCTTAACTGCAGAAAACAAACTCACCCTTCGTCAGAAACAACATCGCCAGACTGATGGAGAATCCCTTTTTTATTATGTATAGGATTGATACACATCCTAGAAGGCATTATGAAGGTCCTGCAACCAGAAGAAAGAAGGGTAAGACGGTAATTATGATGATAAAAGACTTTAGATATGTTATCGCGAAGAAGCGTGCTGTGGTGTACAGCACCAAACGGAAATTCGACTTCAAACTTGAAATACTAACATGGATACGCAAGATCTAGTAAATATAATATAAATCATCAGTACGCACTCCAACTTTTCTAGAAACCGATACTCAATATCTTTAATTTTATACAAACCGCAAATCGAAAACTGCCAAAGAATCAAAGAAGGTTACACATCACCAAAACAGAGAAGCATCAGTTTCCGATCGAACTCAACCGAGCCACAATCAGGGGCGAGTCCACCCAAGGGCTAGGGTGGACTCAAGCCCCCCCTCACTTCCAAATTTTTCCCTAATATATATATATATATATATATATATATATATATATATATATATATATATATATATATATATATATATAATACTTTTCCTTTTTTTTTTTTTTTTAATTTTTTAGCCTACCCAATTACATTATTTTATCCACTTACTTTTACTCCACTTAAGCCCATTTATTCAAAGCCGCCTCACTTCTCAAAGCCCCACTCATGTCTGACTTGTCTTCATCTTCTATTTCCTAACTTCGCTCTCGTTCTTTGAAAAAGAGAAAAAGAAACTTTGTTCTATTGCATAGTCGCACTAATGGCGGTTAAATTGCTATCCAGTGGCGATCGAACGCACACCGGCGATCAATTAACGTTTGACGTCTTTTCTTTCATCTTAATTTTCATAATGAATATTAATTAAAAGTCCATTGTGTAAATTTTATAATCGACTTAATATTCATGTTTCTTAGATTTTTATAGCAATTTAACTTTCGCGATTCGCTTTGGTATTATCTTCTGAAAATGGAGGGAAAAAAAAAAATTCATATCAAAATTTCATCTTAAATTTCTTTGATAGCAAAAAAATTTTCGGGGGCTCTGCCCCCGCACCCCCAATACGTTTAAGCCCCCCCTCACAAATGTTTCTGGCCTCGCCACTGGCCACAATAGAAGCAAAAACCCGCGAACGATGACGAGTATAACAGTCTACAATAAAAGGAAAAAATAAACATGCCTACCACAGCAAATTATCAAACACCTTAGCTGCATTGAGGTGTGTCCAGAATCAAAGATCAACAATGGCTACAAGCGTGAACTTAATGCAACTACTCTAGTATCAACGAAACAGAAAAACTCCCACTTCTTCAAATTACTGAAGATTCAAGATTCACAATAAAAAAATAGCGATCAGCAAAATTAAAAGGGGGCAAAAAAATACCTTCCGAGAAACAAAGCTTCTTCTAGGGCACACCTAAGGCTAGATTCTTGGTGGCCCAAACCCTCGCAAGAATCGCAATGCTTGCCCGGACAGTCAATTCTACCGCCCCAATATAAGTACTTCTCCTGCAAATTGTGACGATTTTGGGGGGTATTTACTAAATTCTGTAAAGTTGTCGGAGTGGAAAATGAGGAAGAAATAAGGTAGAGTAGAGCAACGCATGCGATACAAGCTGTGATTATGATGATTGGAGATCTGGGCTTCGCTGATTTTGCCTTCGGGTAGCCCCTTTGAATTGCCATTGATTTTTTGAGTTTTCCTTTTTTTGCAGTGTGGTTTCGCTGAAAGGCTGATGAAACAACAGAGAGATTTTTCTGCATTTGATTGTTTTTTTTCTTTTTTAGTTTTATTTTATTTAGTTTTAATTTAATTTTAATTCTTTATGTTTGGCCAATCATTAGATCTACACAATTGTTAAACTTACCAATTTTCAATCTTTATCTTGTAATTATAATTTTATTTTATTTTTGCAGCCAACCATATTAGGTGCATTGGGTAAACGTACACTCTCGTATGATAGTTTGCAAACCATACGAGAGACATAACTACACTATGCTAACTATGTGTGACAAGTTCGACCTAGCGACCGTTAGTAAGGAGATTCGAACTTGAGTCAATTAACCAAAATTCACTTGTATATTTCTAGGTAGGGGAGTCCATTGTACGGTTTCTTTCGACTTTAGGCCAAAATCGAAAAGGTCGATACAATCAATTTTAGAAAAACAATTTTAAAAAAGAAATCATTTATTTCAGGATTTATTTCCGGTTCGATTTCATTTGATTTCGAGCTTTTTCTTTTTCTCGTCTTTGGTTCAGTTTGATTTACTTCCCGGTTTAAGAAACAAATTTGTGTTTGATTTACATATACAACGAAATAAATTAAAATTACTTTCGCTTAACTAAGGGCCCGTTTGATATGATTAAGTGTTAAATGGTGAATGCTTGTCTAAATGGTCAAGAGTTGTGTTTGAATGATAAACAATTAAGTTCATTTGATAACTGAATGTCTGAATAATGTTATTTTCTTATTATACCCTTAGTTAATGGTGACATTTTATTTTTTAGTTAAATTTCATTATCATGTACATATTTTAAGCATAATCTACTCTGTCAATAAAATACATAACAAATCAGACATTAAACATCTTAATATAAAATAAATTTAAAATATTTAACATAGATAAAATATAAATTTGAAATATAAATTTAAAATGTAAATTTCAAACAATTAATAAATATAACATTCAATGATAAAAGTAGTCAGAATATGAAAATACATCAAAGTCACTAAAATTGACCTAAAAGATTAAAGTCGTTAAACTTAACATCAAATATTTAATAAATTATAATTGGTCGCTCAATGCATTAATCGGGTTGCTATTTCATCGCGCACATTTGCTAAATACTGCATGTCTTCGTCCCCCACCATAGTCCGGTAATTATACCATCATTCTCATGGTGTTGTCAATTCTAATTATACCATCATTCTCATGGTGTTGTCAATTCTCATTCATACCATCAAAAGGACTATATGTCTTTGCACATCAAACGAAAAGGAAGCCAATATGAAGTAACCAAACGGGACCTAACTAAATGCAATGAAAAATAAAACTCTAATTGAGTAGGACTTTACATAGTTTAAATAAATATTAGAGTAAATTATACATACACCCCTAAGATATGTTAAAATAACTTTAAGGTTCCTGTAGTATTAGTAATTACAATCACTCCCATGAAACATTGTTAGAAATCCAAACGGAACACATTGTATAACTTATTCCATTAGAGTTTTAATGGACTATTAGTTTCAGGCAGCGGTGGAGACAACATAGAGTTAGGTGGTGATATCAGATATGGTTCCCCCAACATTTCTTAAATCATTTATTATTTTATATAAGATTTATAAATTTTCGTCTATGGTAGCATTAACGGCCCCGGGGAAAACAAATATAGTGCATACCGGTCTCCAGGGCATGAAATCTTGGCTCCGATAATTGTTTCAGGAATGTGACTGTAATTACCAATACCACAAGGACCTTAAAGTTATTTTAGCATACCTCAGGGGCATAGGTGTAATTTACCCTTAAATAAATATTATAATCTATTGTCAATTATCCTCTGCGTGCGGGACTAGTCCAATCGGTGCACCTAAGGCATCTTCTTCCCCGCGCTTTCTACTTTTCTTTGAAGACGAAAGAATATGAACACCATTCCGTTCCCACTCATAATCAACAACAAATCGAATCTCATAAAGGTAAACCCCCTTTCAATCGAAACCCTAATTCTCCCCTCCACTTTGATCGATTGGTCAGTTCATCGAATTCTATTCATTTTTTTCTGTAAATTCCCACCTTTTGTGATTCTTCCCCCTTTTTTCTCGTACACGGCTGGAAATCAATCAATTCTCTATATATATTGGTTGAAAGATCAGCGCCATTAGTTCGAGCTGCGATCGGTTGATTCAAGAGCCTGCAAATTTGCGGTACGCTTTTTTTTTTTTTTTCACTTGTGCAATTTTACTTACTAGATTTCGATTGTTCCAACAATTCATTTTGTGCATTGTTTTGAATTTTTGCTTGCTTTCTGATCTGACAATGCATGTGGTATTGGACTTTCAGAGTCTAATGGAGGCTGGTGTTAGCTCGTTTTTTTTTTTTTTTTTTTTTTTTTGCATCTAATATTTGCTCACTTGTCGATAATTTGGACTTTAGACGGTGTTTTGGTATCGGGGAATTGCCGTCTGTTCAATTTCGTATGCAGAGTTTTGACGAACTCAGTTTCATGAACGAATCTGTGAAATCGAATGCATTTTATAAATGATGGATACTATTTAGTTGTATCTATATTTTTGTTTTGTGATGGTTGATGTTGGAATAGTGACAAATTGCATAATACGCTTAAATCGCAGCTTGAAAAAACTATGATATTTCTTTCATGTAGTAAGTTCACTTTTCTTGTAAGCCCTTTCTTCAGGGAAGGTATATGGTGCATATGCAAAGTTAATTAGACACGCTAGAACACTTTGATTCTGCGTATCTTGATCTTGCTCCTGGTGAAGTGGAATTGGTCCATCAAAGTTAAAATTCTTGACCGATTAATCCAATTTGTAGATATGTTATCCGTCAATTTCCATGTTATAATGTTTAATTCCTATCGTGCTCAATTTCTTGATTATAACTCGTGCATTAGCTGTACTGGACCATGACCAATAGTTTTTGTTGTTGTCTGCAGGGGGGCTTCATTGCCTCGGCAACCTGACAGTTAGCAGCTCCGTGGTGATACAACATGGGTTATCTGAGCAATGTAGGCACACCCTAGTTCGATTATTATCTGTGTTTTTAGTATTTTGCTATATATTGGTGCCGAAAAAACCAGAGACATAAATTTTGACTGAGCACTTGTTTCCATTCGATAAGTATTATTTATATAAGATTGCTCTGCTTATATGACCTTTTCTGCAAATGCAGGAAATTGACCAAGACAATAAGGAAAATGATCCTGGTATGCCTTCCAGTTATAATTTGAACATTGGTTGACATTTTTCGAGTCATTCGATATCTCTTTCCTCCTTATTCTTCTTAAACATGAAGAGACGCCCCTAAGAAACTATCTGAATCAAACAATACAAATATTGAAAGAGTGAACAAGTCCTGAGTCATTTATTCTACCCTTTATTCTTTGCCTCTGTTAAATCACTGAGCTGACCAGTTACGGTTTCCACATTATTTTTTTTTAAATAATCTATGATGAATTCAAATAAACACCTTTTTTTTTATTATTTTTTTTAATAAGAATTCAAATAAACACCTAGATTGTTAGGGAAAAGGTACTTGTGTTTAGCAATTTATTAGATTATTATTTTTATAACCGTTATACAATGGTTAATTGTGCTCTTTATATATCTGCAGTTGCTGCAATACGCAACGGGAAAGAAGTTATATTACAGGTGATTTTCTAATGCCATCATTTTTAATCTAGATGATGCCACAAAAGATGCCATGAAGAAATTATTACTACTTCTACCCCAAAATTATTGTCCTAACGTTGTTTTTCATCGATAGATTTGTTGGTTTTACAAATGCAATAGAGAAAGTATTAGTTATTTTACTTTAAAAAGTATTTCCATAACTGTAGACATAAAAAAAGAATATTAAGACTGAAATTATCAATGGATTAGCTCAGAAATTTATTGAATAAAAAGTCGTATGTTTGGTTTCAGATTCTATGTATTTACCAAACAGGGCATTAGCTTTGGTGCAGAGGAAGTATATTTATTCAGATAAACTGTATGGTGATAAGTTGCTTTACAGGCCTTCAATTGGGAGTCTCATAAACATGATTGGTGGAGCAACTTAGAGAAAAAGGTCCCCGATATAGCAAAATCTGGTTTTACGTCAGCATGGTTACCCCCAGCTACACAATCATTCGCACCAGAAGGTTCAGACAAAACTATACTTATGACTGTATTTTGTTCGATTTACATATCAATTAACCTAATCAATTAACTCTCTTGACTGCCAGGTTATCTTCCACAGAACTTGTACTCTCTTAACTCTTCATATGGTTCCGAGCATCTGTTAAAAGCTTTACTCAACAAGATGAAAACGCACAAAGTCAGAGCTATGGCTGACATAGTTATAAATCATCGAGTTGGGACGACCCAAGGGCATGGTGGAATGTACAACCGCTATGATGGAATTCCGTTAGCGTGGGATGAGCGTGCTGTGACAGTTTGTACTGGGGGAAAGGTATAGCCATCTTTCTAGATAATAAATAGAATTTTGTGTGGTATGATTTTATACTGTTCATTGTTATATAATTTCTATTTGAGCAGCATATTTACCTGCATTTGTGTTGATTAACAATTAAGGGAAACAAAAGTACTGGGGATAATTTTAACGGGGTCCCGAATATTGATCATACACAAGAATTCGTGAGGAAAGACATTATCGACTGGCTAAGATGGTTGCGGAATACTATCGGTTTCCAGGACTTCCGCTTTGATTTTGCTAGAGGGTATGCACTCCGTATTCAAATTTCAGATTGCTTTCTGAAAAGCTTATACAGTAGTTCCATTTGACAATAATTTATTATTTCGTTTACCTTCTGAAATGCTTATACACTAATTACATTTCAGACTAATTTATCATTTCGTTTACCTATGTAGTTATTCCGCAAAATATGTGAGAGAATATATAGATGGTGTCAAGCCGATATTTTGTGTAGGGGAATACTGGGATTCTTGCAACTATAGAGGCAGCTACCTGGAGTACAACCAAGGTATGAGTTTTCTCTGTTAAAACGTAGGCATCGTGCTAGTCTTGAAAATATGGGTACAATATTTTGCATTTTATCTGAAAATAATAAATCGGAGCTCCGGCCTTTTTTTTTTAAGTTTTGAAAGTATGTGGTGTGCGTTTTCAACATTATCTGATAAGTAAAAATGATTTTGTAATTACGTACATTTGCATCAGCGTCAATTACAGTTGTCTTTGTCCTCAATTCGTTTGCAGATAGTCACAGACAAAGGATCATCAATTGGATTGACGGCACAGGACAACTATCAGCTGCATTTGACTTCACAACAAAAGGGATTCTGCAGGTAGATAGGATTTCACAAAGTTACCAACTCGATGATTATCTCTGATTGATACTAAAGATATTATTTCCTTTCTACTAGTTGCTAAAATTATGATTTTGAATATTCCCATTACGTAAATGAACCACTGAATCAGTTTCTTAAAAGCGTTCTTCATCTCATCTTTATGTGCTATTTCATTGATTACAGGAAGCTGTTAAAGGAGAGCTCTGGCGCCTGCGCGATTCTCAAGGGAAGCCACCTGGCGTCATGGGGTGGTGGCCCTCAAGAACCGTCACGTTTCTTGATAACCATGACACTGGGTCAACTCAGGTACTAATCGTTCATTTCACAATTACAGATATTCCATGATGATCAAAGACAAATATAAGAATCACCACACCATCAACATGTTTAAATACTCTTTCATGTTTAGCAGATAGATTTCGTTATTCAAGTTTAATTACTTACTGGTAATTTGTTTTTCTGCAGGCTCATTGGCCTTTCCCGTCGAGCCATATTATGGAGGTATTGTTTACGAATATTCTTGATTAGTATATCTAGTAATTTTTTATTTTCTTTGACATATTTTAGTTCGACATATGCCAACGTTGCCATATATAACCTCAAAAAATTTGATATTGAAATTTAATATAAAATACATTGCTATGTTTTAACACACGGTACTTCACAGGGATACGCCTACATACTCACACATCCAGGAATACCCTCAGTATTCTACGACCATTTCTACGATTGGGGTAGTCCAATCCACGACGAAATTGTGAAGCTGGTATATATATAAATATTCCATCCAATGATATTACACCACATCATAGCTACTAAATAGATCATATGTTGAAAGCTTTTTTTATATGAATTTGCAGATTGATATTAGGAAGCTTCAAGGAATACACAGTCGATCGCCAATCAATATTCTCGAAGCACAGCCAAATTTGTACGCTGCAAATATTGGCGACAAAATATCGATGAAGATTGGAGATGGTTCGTGGTCTCCTCCCGGAAAAGAATGGACACTCGCAACCAGTGGACATAGATACGCCGTGTGGAAGAAATAGACGCATCACACTTCTTTATATGCTAGTAAGATATACAATATATATGTGTGTGTAATGTGTGTAAGTTTAAAATAAGGTCTCAGTTGACCATAATGGATGCTAAGTTATGATTATCTATAAGAAGATATATTTCAGCTTCCTCATTTTCTTCGATTATTATCTAATTCGCAATTGTTGCGCGGTGAATTAGTTGAAATGGTCTTTCAGTTTTGAGATCAAACTATTCACAGCAGTTTGGTGCAAGGTGACAATGAAGCACTAATTTGACCGAGCCGACTCGACAAAAGTTCCAGTTTTTTTGTGGAGCCAATTTATAGTTGTTCATGACTAGGACTCGAACGTTGGAATATGCCCGGATCTTTAAGGGGTGTGAAGCTTTAAGGGGTGTGTTAATTGTAATTACAATTAATTTCAAGGAGGTAAGTGCAATTTACGAATGTAATTATAAAATGGCGCGAATTTTGAAACATGGATTGAGAAATAGGAGGAGCGTTGGGTAAAAGAAAAGGCACGTAATGATTACTACATTTGAAAGAGGCACTCCCCGACAACGGCTCCAGCGCGTGACGGCAATTGTCGGCTTATGCCCCCCACTGCCACCACCCACCCCCTCACCCCATCACCCACCCCACTTTCTCATGCTCATTTACTTTTCCCTATTTCCCTACTAAACTACCATTATCATTTTTAATATAAACTACGAAAATCTCCCTAAACTTAAGCTTAATTATAAAAATCACCGGAAATATTCACTGGAATAAACAAAGATTTCGTGAAAAATCACAACGTAAGGAGGTCGGTGCAACCTGTAAACAAATGTCGTGGGGATTTTGATGGTTACGAATAGATCATAGATGATGGTATTTTCCGTAATTTAACCTAAGTTGACGAGGTTTTTCACTTAAATGGATTTAATTTAAATGAATATTAAGTTGTAATATTTACATTTATTTATAAAATTATTTCCACGTACGTCATAGGAATCTTCTTAGGTTCTCGAGATAGCACATTTTCTCATGTTATATATATATATATATATATATATATATATATATTCAGTTCAGATAAACGTACAAAGCAAAATCCTTCCTTTTCCATGCTTCGAATAATTCTCTCTCAAGTCTCAATGTAATAACGAAACCAAAAATGCTTTATATATATGTTGCTAATTTAGTGTTTCGATTTTTTTTTTAATTATTTTATTTTGGAGAATGTGTTGCGATTGATTAATTAAATAGAGAAGACAAATGTAATTAATAATAATAGTTATAATTTTTCGGTGGTTTGTGAGATGCTACACCTGGTGTACGTAACACCACCGGGTGGTTTTAAATCGTAGGGTAAATTATGTGCGGCCCACTCGAGGTAATGTCAAATTACGAAAAAAACATCTTCATGTTTGGGTAATTACAACCACTCCTTTTAACTATGAATTTTCTTACACGTCTACCCTTATAGTGTCAAATTCAACAGAATGTTATAGATCCCGTGAAATGTTGTCTAGTTTGTACTTGTTTTATGCAAAAATGCAGTTTATGATGCACAACATTTTGATATTTACAAGCCAATGGACACATCTTATGATCATTTTGTTTTAAAATATGTGGAGCTCGAATGGGTAAAACTGGTACAAACTGGAGAATATTCCACTAAATTTGACATCGTAATGGTGGATGTGTAATAAGATTCATAGTCGAGGGGTGGTTGTAATTACCTAAACATGAGGGGTTTTTCGTAATTTGGCATTACCTCAGGGTGGCCGTGTATATATATATATATATATATATTTTTTTTTTTTCTCTCAAAACATAGAAGAGGCATCCATAATTTCATTACATTATAATTAAAATACAACACACTTAATTAAAATTGCTAGTGAAACAATAACAATTACACTCACTATAAATCACACAAATCCACCAAACAAAGCCAAATTACAAAGACATTAAATATTTACAACCAAAAATTAAAAACAAGTGTTAACTAACTTATTTATTCCTCCATAATTTCAAAAAAAATCAATTAATTACCCAATAATCATCCTTTCATCGAACCACCTCCGCCTTTTCGATCTTTCTCCAGAAACGTAATTTGATCGAACGACCAACGTCTTCAAAGCATCTCTAAGCAGCAAAACGGACTCATCGGTTCGATTTTCATCTCCCGCCAAAATCATCACATTCCTAATCCTCCCACCCAAAGTTACCATTTCTGCCCTCAAGGGGCTCAAACGCAGCGACTTTAGTATTTCGATTAAATCCGGTACGAGGTCCGCTCGATCGTCGCAGCAGAGAGACGCCTTCACGACCGATGATGATTTCCCGCCAAAAGAATAATATTCCTCGTGTTTGAAAACCTCGATTTCGTCTGCCTCGGAAGGGAATGTTTGGTCGTGCTGCACGATTTCCGATGTTTGTTGTTTTAGTTCTTTCACACGTTGAACCACCTTTGCTAGCAATGAAGCTTTATCTATCTGCAATAAGATCACATGATAAATTAAATGGTAATTAATAATTAATGGAAATAATTTCATTAAGTAATTAATTAATATATATTCCTTTTATTTTATTTAAGTATCATAACTCATAATCTTTAATTATGTTGTCATTTAAGAGTTTTAAGGTATAAATTAATTTTCTTTTACCAATTTTCCCCTCTCAATATCATTTATTAGCTTTTCTATTAAAATAAATTATTTATTAATAGAATTTTCATTTATTTATTTATTTCTTTTCAAAAAAAGAAAGTAAATAATTTTTATTTATTTCTTTTACCAATTATTGCCCTATATATCATTAATAATAAATATTTATGTGGAGGAAAAATATCATTAATTGTTTTTCTATTAAAATATATGTTATTTATTAGTAGTAATGTTCATTTATATATGGTACGCATCTACTTTAAATAACACTAGTCTACTTCTTATATAAATAAGAAATAATAGATAATAAATTAAAAATTAAAAATTAAAAATTAAGTAAACTAATTACTAATCAATTAAACATTCTAATGTACATATTACCCAAAAGTAAATTCATTTAATTTCCATTATTTTCTCATCGGAAAAGATGAAAATATAAATAAAAGAATAAAAATCATTTTGTGTCTAGCTTAGCTTCGTGTGTATATACGTAATACTCATCCATATATATATATATATATATATATATATATATATATATATATACCCCCCCCCCCTCTAGAGAGAGAGAAGACCCCCCCCCCACTTTAGAATTGCAGAGACGAAGGGATCTGAGGCGATGAAGATGGCCATTGATTCTCTCTCTACGTTTTCTCTCAGCTTCTTTGTGATTTTCAGAAGCTGCAGTTGCACTCCGATTATCCGATCTCGCCGGAAAACCATAGTTTCCACCCAACAGCTGATCCAGGTAAGAATATTCCGGCGAGTTCTTCGGCTGCATGACGACGCTGTTTTCCTTGTCTGAAAATTATACTTTCGTGTGAACGGATGATGTATATTGTCTCTTTAGGGTTTATATATATATATATATATATATATATATATATATATATATATATAATGATAATGATTAGTGTTTTGGAGTAATGGTCAAATAAAAAGGCACGCGTGTTTTGCTTTATACTTGTTTCTTGCAAAAAGGTCCTTCGCTTTCTTTAATCTTTTCTTTTTGGTACTTATAACTTATAATGATTAATTTTTTTTTTTTTGAAAGATTATAATGATTAATTTAGCACTCAACTAATTGGAATTATTTTCAATTTATTTTTTGATGGAATATACAACTATTTGATACTCAGATCGTTAAGTTCAAAAGTTGTTTGAGCTCGATTTACAAACATAACTGACCATTATTGAACATAGATTTTCGATATCAAAGCGAGTATACATCGAGTACACTAGATTTAATGATCGATGAAATTGAGTAACAGACGAATTAAAAATCGAACTCGAACACTGTAAGAAAATAAAAAATGATAAAAATACAATTAGAGGTCGTTCGAATCTTGATTGGATTAGTGCTTATCAAATCAAGCTCGAACACAGTTATAAAAACTCGATACATATATAAAAATTCAAATACGAGTTATAAATGATTTAGGGAAAACTAATATGATGTCAAATATGGATTTAAATAAAATTATCATAGAAGACATAAATTATAATTATTTCCATAGACCGGGCCGGAGTGTATATGGCTATGTTTGTTACGCTTCTCAAATTCTTTTCATTCTTTCCCCAAAATAAAATTATCTTTCTGAAATATTTTCAAAAACTTTCTCAAAAAAGAATTCAAATTTTTCTCTCTCTAACAGACATGATCTGACTGCTACAGTGAAAATTGTCTTCACTAAATTACAAACTAAAATCACTTTATCCTTCAAATTCTTCTTTCAAAATAACTTTTTCCAACACATTTTAGACATGATTTGACTTGCTACAGTACAAATTGTCTCCTCTCAAAACACAAACAAACTTTATTTTATTTTCAAATTCTTCTCCCAAAACATCTTTCTCCAGTAAAAATGGAAATAGAAGTCCAAAAGCTTACCAAACATAGCCTATATGTTTGGACTAGAACACATTAAGAAAAATACATAATGGGCCAAGAAAAATGAAAGAAGCCCATTACTATTCCCATGTTTGATTCTCATAATTAAAAAAATACATAATGGGCCCACGACGACGTGGACCAACGAAGGCCGCTTCGGCGGCGCCGTCGTAAAGAGTGCCTCCACCGCTTGCCTGGTGGAACTCTCCGGCGACACCCTCCGAGCGGTGAACGTGGGGGACAGAAAATCAGAAATCGAATTAAATCCTGCGAAAATCGATGATATTGCAGTAGTTGTTGCTCACATTGTACCTAAGAGTTGGTCCTACCAAAGTTTTCTTGATGTTCATCTTAGGACGATTTACTTTGATCTTAAGGAAAAAAAAAAAATAATAATGTTAACGTGAGGGTAAAAGTATGACACCCTAATGGCAATTTTGTAAATAAAGAAATTGTTTTTTTAATTATGGATGACTTACATATACTTCACTTATGCCAATTTTCAATGTCATATTTTAAAATCATTATTTCTTTAAAATCCACCGCTAGCGATTGAAGGCACGACCATGGTTTATCGGCGAAGATGACTGCAAATCCACATATGAAGTTTCGACAGCCATGGATTGGGAGTTTTTTTACGCAGGGGGGTCGATTCGTGACGAAGATGACGAGCAAAGAAGAGAAAAAAAGATGTTGGGGGCAACTTTGTCATTTCCCACACCAAAAGTGAAGAAAAAAATCGCACAACTCGCGCGTGTGAGACACGATCTGATTTCGGGGGTCTCAATGCTTTGACTTTGATTACACAGCGATGTATGAGTGAATTTTTATTTGACAGGGGGTATTTGACGATTACGTATTACACAGTGGTAGTATCACCAATTTACTCTCATTATTTTCCTCAATTTTATTTTTATTTTTTTCTCTTCTAATTATAAATGACTTTTCTCTCTACATTTTCTTCACATTGGCCAATTTTCGATATCATATTTTAAAATTATTATTTACGTACTAATATTACTACTATAAAATTGAAAGGAATTCAAAAAAACAATAGGGTATGTATAGTTTCAATAATTAAATAATTAATTCAAATTCTAAAACTCTAATAACAATAGAATTTTATATAAATAAATAATAGAATTAGAGTTCTATTGGGACTAAGATTAAACATCAATTCGCTATATATATAGTTATATGATGCTCTCTAGTTATATATATGAACAAACTGGGGCAATTTTTTTTTTAGTGTTGTTTTTTATTGTAGTTTTTAAAATGGGGTTGTTTTGGGGTGTAACCGAATTGGGGTTGGACGCCACCCACCACGGCGGCACCGGCAGGAGACGCCACCGGTGGTGGCGTCTTCTCTTTAAATATTAATATTTTAATATTTTAATATTATAATATTATAATATTTTAATATTTTAATATTTTAATATTTTAAATATTTATATTAATATTTTCTAATTTTTAATTTTTTTTACAAAATAAAACATTAATATTAGTATTAAATTTATTACATTTTATATATTTTATCCATTAGTGTTAAATTATCATTGCATATATTTATCTAATCAACACAATAAAATAGTGTACAATCTTGTCCGTTTTGCATTTTGGTTTTCCAATAAATTAATATTTTTTTTATAAAATTCAATAGAATGTACTAACTGGAAGGGAAGAAATCGTACCGCAAAATTTGACCAATGAATCGTGGCAGTTTGAAGTATGAAATTATATTTTCTGGTATAACTTTAATGATCATATTTTGGATTGATTTATTATAATTTGATTAAATTTTAGAAATATGTACCTATTTTGTGGGTATGGGCAAGGAATGGAATATATATTCCCAAATTTATTCCCAATTTTATTCCCGAATACATGTTTGGTATGTTTTGGGAATGAGAATATCCATTCCTATCGGAATGCTCATACCCAAAATTATAGGATTAGTGATTCCTCCACTCCCCCATGGTTTTACGTATTCCCAATTCTATGGGAATAAATAATTATTTTCTTTTGACAAAATTATCCTTATTTAATACTTTTTATTTACAAAATTATCACGCAAATTCCATTTAACTTAAACCTAATTAATCAATTCTTCTATCATATTGATTTATCGTCTCCTTTTCTCCTCCGTCGTCTTCAGCCGTCTGAAGGTACAATTTTTTTTCTTCTTCTGCATCTTTCTTTCTCCGGCTTGTGATTTTCTGATTTTTGTAAACTTATTTGTTGAACAACTGGATTGAGTTTAATGGAGATATGAAAACAAGCTATAAATAATACTATTGCTTGTCCTATTCTTGATTTTTAACAGTAGGTGCAATTGTTTATAAAGAAGCAAATTCAAGTTTTCTACTGTTTACAGAATAAATAGAAATTGATGGGGAGATTAGTGGGTTAATGAACATTTATATAGTTCCTATGCATTTCGTCTTATGTTAGGCTTTTATTTTATTGTGTTTAACCCTTTCTTGTAATTAATGTGTTGATGTCTTACTGTTGTGATATTCAAACAAAATTTTGATAAATACCCTTTTAAATAAATTTGCAGCTATGCCAAGATTAAATTTATCAACAAAAAAATTAGCAAGGCGAAAGAAATACATAGCAATGTTGTCGTTTTGGTCGAGCATAATGCAATTAGTACATTGGTTTTGGCACATTGCTCTTAGATATATGGAGAATCATTTGTATATTTTCTTATTATTTTTTCTCCATTAATTTTCTAACTATAATTTTCAACAATTATCAATCACCTATTTTTCATCAATAAAGATAGAAATTCAATTTGTTAAATAATAATATATATAGTTGGATTATAAATCTTAATATGTAAGATTTAAAAACACTGTTGTTATATAAAATATGAATAATACTACATTATTAAATTTTACTATTTTAGTGTACTTGTATATTTTCTTATTATTTATTAAATCGATTATTTTTTTCATTTTTGAAATAATATCCCGTGCATCGCACGGGGAAAAAATGCTAATTGTTTAATAATACAAGAACACATATAAAGTTGGGGCCACCTCAAAATCTCGAGCCAAAGTATATTTTTAGTTTTTCATGAGTTCAGGAGGCCGCTCGATTTTTATTTTTTTTAATATAAAAATACTAATTTAAAATAATATTAATAAATAATCATGAAAATATAAAATAGTATTATTTTTTATAATGATATAATTAATAATTTAGAATAATATCAAAGTGTGAAGTAAGCACACCGCATTAATCATGTAATTAGACAACATATCACATCAAATATGATTTGTGTTCTTTCAAGTACTACGTTGTGGAGAACATGAAAATTAAAGAAAAAAAAAGGTAATAAACCACTGGGGCAATTTTTTTTTTGGTGTGGTTTTAATATGGAGTTTTTAAAATGGTGTTATTTTAGGAGGAGTTATCAAATTGGGGTTGACCGCCATCTGCAACGGCGGCAATGGCCGGAGACGCCACCGCCGGTGGCGGCACCGGGAGGAGACGCCGCCACCGGTGGCGTCTTCTCTCTTTTTTTAATTATTTATTTTAATATTTTAATATTATAATATTATAATATTTTCTAGAGGAGACGCCACCACCGGTGGCGTCTTCTCTCTTTTTTTAATTATTTATTTTAATATTTTAATATTTTAATATTATAATATTTTATGATTTTTTAATATTTTATTATTTTTTAATATTTATTATTTTAATATTTATTCTTATTTTTTAATATTTAAATATTTTCTGATTTTTAAATTTTTTTTTTTACAAATAAAACAATCTAACTACATTCATTAGTTTGGTGTTAGTATTAAATTTATTACATTTTATATATTTTATCAATTAGTGTTAAATTAATCATTGCATATATTTCTCTAATCAACACAATAAAATAGTGTACAATCTTAAAAATATGTAGACAAAAACAAAAGGAGTTCTAGAAAATAAAAGAGT